TTTTTTTTTTTTTTTTTTTTTTTTTTCCTAAAAATGTATAACGTCTTAATATAAGTGATGAGGTTAGATATATTAATTCTCTCTTTCGTTTTCTTGTTTCAACATTACATTTACGTTTTTGTGTCTTGTAGATATATTAATTATAAACACAAAATACATCAGTTTGATAAATTTAGCATCTGCATAAATAAAATCAAATGTAAACGTGTTCATACTGTCTATAATACTGATAAAGATCAAAGAGATTTTAAGAATCATCATGTGTAAATAGTCGGTGCTGCATCGTGATGTGATGAATTGGAAATTGCAGTTCTTGGTGGTCATGGTTGATTCCAATCGCCCTTGGGGTGCTCGCGACCATCGTCTATCGCAACTTTATCAGCGCACATTAAAGCATTCCGAGCCTTTTTTTCATGTTACTTGTTAATAACTGTATATGTATACATATGTATCAATGAATTGTACATTTTTTCCGAATGTATGTCGCACACCGTTGTTACGCTATGAACCAAATAATGCATTTTCTGGCCTAAAGTTTAAAAGCGCGAGAGAAAGAGGGATTAGAGAGGAAACAGTCGACGATGTATTATATAATGATATACGTAAATAACGCGCATTTATATATTTATATGTATACATTTGTACACACGGTATATATATTCATATGTACATGTAGCGTTTCATGCGCGACGTCGTTTTCCAGATTGGCGAAATAAATTAATTTAATTCCTTAGAAAGAAGGATTCTCCGCCGAATAAAGAAGTAAACCCCCGTCCTTAAATCCTTAGACGAAAGAAAGAGGCTGCTGCGAGGGGACGAAAACTATAATAGAAGTAATTCGATCACCAATCAAAAACTGTACGAAACGCGATTGTGAGTGCTCATGTTATTTGTCCATCTTACAGCAAATTCATCAAGAAGCCTGTATGCATCGCCAAAGAAGAGAAAAAGTGGCTGCATTGAAAATAATATTTTATAGCGAGTACAATGATTTTATAATTGCATTTTACTTGTTTTTTTCTACAGTTTATTTAATAAGTGCGCGATGGATCTCATGAAAAATTGCATGAGAAATTTGATAAATAATTACGCGTGTAAGTTACAAAATTTTAATTAATAAAAACAATATACGCAAACGATAATAATGCTATACAAAATTTGGGGCATTTAATATCTGATAATCTCAGCCCGGATCGATTCTGAGAATTATTTTGTACGATCATTTGATCGTGACATTCTTAAATTGATGCACGGTACCAAAAAAAACAAACGAGAATACATTGACAAAATTTATTGAATTGTTACTTTTTTTTAATAAAGACATATTTTTTTTTATTAAAAATATATATTTGTAAAGATGATATATTCGTAGAGATTCTGTTGCAAGCGTTCATCCGAAGCGTGTAAGACGAGTTCAACGAAGCGGCATTGAAATTAAGCGCGACGACGACGAGACGAGTCCTGCACGCAGGAGCCGCGTGATGAGTGCGGGATAACCAATGGATGCTTCGCACCATTCCGGAGTAAGGATTCACGGTGGCGTCGCTCCGTGGTCGGTATCGAGCGAATTCTCCGACGTGCGCCGCGCCGCACCGCGCCGGTTCTCGCCTCGCTTCGCCCTCGCGTCTCTCTACTCCCTCCGACCAGCGGTGGCTTCGGTAGACCTCGCCTCCGACGAACGCCCAGTAAAGCGCGTAAGCTCGGTGAAGGAGCATCGTGGAGCATTACTCCGGCAGAGGCGTCAGCGATAGTCGACTTAAAGAAGAGAGAGAGATAGGAGATTAACGCGAGAGAAGACCCATCTTGAATAAGTAAATCCAGCGAGTGTACGCATATCGTCACGAGGGCGAGCAAAAAACGAGAGGAGAGAGGATAAGAGAGAGAGAGAGAGGAGCGAGCGCGCACTGAAAAGGGCGACGAGAGGAGACAGCGGAGGCCGGTCGGTCCCGGAAGTGGAAGGGCAGAGGTTGACAGGGCGGCAGGAAGAAGGGGTGCGAGTGGACGAGGACGACGAAGGACAGCAGCTGCGTAAGGCGCGAACGGCGGTGGTTGCATTGAAAAGTAGCGGCGTGGTGTCATGAGAGGCGGTCTCACGGTCCGCCCTTCTTATCGGTCCCTCCAAGAGTCATGCATGTCGCGCCCCTCAAACGAGGTAAGCGCGTAAACGCCGGAGCAACCCTCCCACGCCG